TTCTGAGGAATCAAAGTCAGCCAGACGACCCCAATAAGTGGGCAGCCCTATTCCTGTGGGCATGTGAGACTGTCAGACACACAGCCCCAATCTGAAGAGGTCTGGGGCTGTGTGGACAGAGAACGGGCACATGGTCCGATCAGCTCCCGCACGCGGGTGCCTGGCCTCCCGGTGCCCTAGGGAGCCAGCGGTTCTGACGGGCGTGTCGGCCCGCATGCTGCCTCTGGCCTCAAGTCCATGTTGATGTTCATTCTGGGACTTCCAGCACCGGTGTGGCGTGCCCGCGGAGGCACGTGACTCACCTTAGCTATCTTTTCCCTTTGCCACGTTCTCACTGCCATCGCTGCCCTCCGCAGGGGCATGACGGGAACCCCAGGGCAGCTGCAGCGGCGTCCGCACAGCAGCACTGGCCAGTGTGGGGGTTGCTGGTTGGATCTGCCTGGGTGGCAGATGTTATTGACCTCACTGGTTTCCTGTGTTGAAACCCACCGTGAGAGAGTGTGGGGTGGGGGGCACCCTGGGTATCCGCCGGCCCAAGCAGAGCCCACGAACCCGGGCTCTCCCTCCCCTGCCCAGGCCAGGAGGCAGTCCCTCGACCCAGCCTCTGGAAGGAGGGCCTGCGCACTTCCCTCTGAAGCCTCTTCGTGGGCCTGGCTGCCCTTCATCCTCTGCTGTGTCCCCCTCGCTCAGGGACCACGCCTTCCATCCACGTCTGGGACGCCGTGACCAAGCACACCCTGTCCATGCTGCGGTGCCCCCATTCCAAGGGGGTGAATTACGTCAACTTCAGCGCCACCGGGAAGCTCCTGGTGTCGGTGGGAGTGGACCCCGAGCACACCATCACTGCCTGGCGCTGGCAGGAAGGTAAGGAGTTGGAGCCCCTGCCCTGCAGCTGAGCAGGGCCCCGCCTGCAATCTGTCTCGCTGCAGAGCCCGCTCAGGCCCTGCTGTCCGGGCCCCTGAACCAGGGCTGTGGGGGTCCCATAGAAGCCCTTCCTTAGCTGCTGCCACCAGGAGAAAGTCTGGGGGGCAGGGGGGCGGGTGGGGGTGTCCTGCCAGTTAGTGAAGGCTCTCCAGCTCTCCCCTCAGACCCAGGGGGGCAGCCTCCCCCACCCCCTCCTTTCAGACCCAGTCGTCCCCAACCTCCACCTTCCTTCGGGGGACCCCTGGATTAGGCGGCACCTTCCTTCGGGTGACCCCTGGATTAGGCGGCACCTTCCTTCGGGGGACCCCTGGATTAGGCGGCGGTCTTATTCAGAACACCTTCTAACAGGAGCTGTGGTCTCAGGAAGGGGGTTTCGTTTCTTACGTTGTAAAGTTCTCCGAGGTGGGGTTATTTTACAATTCAGTTTACTGGTGCTTTCTACTTTGTCTTCTGCTTTAATTTCATGTCATAGAATTTCTTTTCTACACACACACACACACACACACACACACACACACACGAGCTCACGGTCCTTTCAGAATGAAGAAATGCAGCCTTCCGAGTACAGTCCCCCCTCCCCCCCTAAAGATAGATCCAATTAGTGAGAGCATTAATGAGGTCTGGCTCTGGGGCTGCAGCCCTTATCCAGGGCACGCCAAGCCGGGAATCCACAGAGGGCCACTTCTCCAAACCCCACTTCCCAGATCCCAGTGCTCGGCCTCAGCCCGCGCGGGGGTGGGGTGGGCACACTGAGCCCGAGTGGGGCCAACGCTGCGCTGATGGCCGGTGGATTCTCTGGGAAACCACATGTCCTCACTGTCGTTGGCCACCAGTGGACTGTCTGCAGGGCACCTGCTCCCTTACCTTGGGCAAGCAGGGTCTGGCCCTGATGTTGAGAGGCCACCCGATTGAGCAGAAGCAGCCCGGAGGCGCAGGAGAGCTTCTTCAGGGGCAGGCGCATCCCTGGGTCGGGAGGACTAGAGAAGTCATCGTGCCTGGGCAGCATCCACCCCAGAGAGAAAGTCCTCCCTGAGCACCCCGCCCGGCTGTGCTTGAGCCCTCGTCGGAGGGGCCGCTCAGCATTTTAGAAGGCAGCCCGCCCCCTGTTGGGAACCTCTCTTCCAGCCCTCCCTCAGGTCGGGCCATAACTCGCCTCGGGCGTGACGTCTCTCCTCTGTGGTTCTAACTCTGCTCTCTGCAGCAGCCTGAGCCAAGTCCACTTCCGGAAGAAAGCTCCACATTGACCTCCTGTCGGTCCTGCCTTTTCCGCTCTTCCTCAATCTGACCGCCTGGTCGCTGCCCGCCCTGCCAGCCCCTCTGGTCACTCAAGCCAGGGTTGGCAGAAGCAGGTCTTGTGACTCTTTCTAGACCGAGTGATCTTCTGCTTTGAACGTCTCCTTCCACCTCTAGAGGCCACTTTGAGGGAAATGAAAAGAAAGCTGTGAGGTTGGCTGTGGAGACTGCTGAAGCGGTCAGGCCCACGGAGTCCGTTCGGACTCCTAGCGTTGTCGGAAACACACAAACAGAAGGAAGCGTTGCCGGTCCTGCACCATCTTCCTGTGGTTGGGCCCATTTTTCCTCTGGGTTGCTGCCCCTCTGCTTGACCAGACATGATGTCCCTTTCCAGGGGCTGGTCTCTCCTGACAACCCATCCAAAGTAGGCGAGATGCTGTCCTCCGAGGAGCATCCTGGCTGTACTTCTTACAAGACGGAGGGGTCTGTTCTGTCGGCAGCCCAGGGCGCGCGGTCTTCTTTGCCAGTGCCATGATGCAAACGCATCGCTTCTTCAGGGATCTTCCTTGCTCCGTGCCCAACTTCACGCACGCCTGCAGACACTAGGGCGCGGGCCAGGCGCACCTGAGACCTCAAAGTAACATCCTTGATTCTCAACCCCTCAGAGGTCTTGTGCAGCCACCTGTCATCGATCTCCTGGCTTGGCTTCCGGTGAGCATTGGTGGTGGATCCAAATAAGATGCAATCCTTGAAGACCTCCGTCTTCTGACACGGTCGCTGACATGCTTCTGCTTCCAGATGTTAAAGGGACCTGTGGGTCCCTAGGGACCCCTGGTGTTGGGGTGGGTGGACCAAGGGCCATTTCTTCAGATTCACACATGCGTCTCGCGAGGTTTACGCACAGCTGTGTTATCCTTGGAGAAGACATTATTCCTTCTTCATTTGTTAAGGAATCTTTCATGTATGTGATGCTCAGGGCGGTGTATACAGGTGAGAACAAAATAAACTGGAGGAGGAGAGGGGACGAGTGGTCAGCTTCTGTTCAGTTTACAACCAAGAAGACCCTCGGGGGCAGTTTCAGTCTGTCACTGGGGCCCAGGCGCTGAAGACGACCCCACAGCTGCCGACACCAAGTGTTCTTGCGACTGGACGTGACGAGACGGGCACAGAGCAGCTTGTGCCGGCTGTTCTGCACATCAACAGTGGGAGTGGAATTAGACGACGAGAAAGGTTAAATAAGACCCAAGGGACAGTAGACAGATAAACCAAACAAGTGCAGTCTAACTAGTAAAGCGTGTCTGCCTGTAACACGTGCTCTTTACAGATCTATGTGCAGAGGATCAATTCGCAGCAGCAACTCAAAAGATCAGACAGCAATACTTTCTCGTGGCCATCAACTAGATTCCGACTCACAGTGACCCCACAGGGCAGGGTCGCACCACCCTGTGGGTGCCCGAGACTGTAACTCCCTACGGAAGGATACCTCCTCTTTCTCCCTAGGAGTGGCTGGTGGCTTTGAACTGCTCACCGTACAGCTAGCAGCTCAACGCTACCAGGACTCCCACAGGGGAGTGCGGGCGGGTCAGTGAGTCCTGTTCCCAGCCCAGGGAAGAGCTCAGCAAGGAGGGGGAGGTCACACAACCTGAAGAACAGAATCAGCATCAATGAATCATACTCACTTATGTAGCAGTGTACTACAGTGCTGTCCAGACGTGTTCTCAACAATAACAAAAGTAACATTTTACGTAAAGGGGAAAGCTAGTAATTAGATGTGAAAAGGAGCATTTTTTAAACGAAAACTTAGAAAATTAAGAGAAACGTGGGAGCTTTATGAAAAATGAAACGAAAGCCGTGAACTCAGATCAATGAAGGGGCACTGCGGCCTGGGGTAGGGGGACTCTGGGATGCCACTTGGAAACAGGCAGTGGGGAGATGGGGTGGGAGGGCTTGGCGCTTTTTGCATGTCAGTCACGGAGTCCATTCTGACTCACGGTGACCCTACAGGACGGGTCGACCTGCCCCTGCGGGTGCCCGAGTATGACTCCTTAAGGGACTCGAGGTTCTCCCTCGGATCGGCTGCTGGTTTTGAACCGCTGGCCTGGCAGTTATCAGCCAGTGGAACCTGGCTCTTTGATGGCGAGGAGCTCTGGTGGTGGTGTGGTGTGGCGTGGCGATGCGTCAGGCCTTGGGACCAACTCTATGGCAGTGAGTTCTCGTTTCCTGTCTGGCAGCTTCCAGCTCCTGCTTCCTTCAGAGGGGGGGGGGGGGCCTTGCATCGTGTGTGTGTGTGTGTCAGGGTGGAGGAAGAACACCGCTGGGAGGGGAGGCGAAGGTCTCGAGGCAGCGGCACCCGCAGAGCGGAGGACACCGCCCCACCACACCCTCTCCCACACAGGTGCCAAGATCGCCAGCCGAGGGGGCCACCTGGAACGCATCTTCGTGGTAGAATTCCGCCCGGACTCGGACACGCAGTTCGTGTCCGTGGGCGTCAAGCACATGAAGTTCTGGACGCTGGCGGGCAGCGCGCTGCTCTACAAGAAAGGGGTCATCGGTTCCCTGGAGGCGGCCAAGATGCAGACGATGCTCTCTGTGGCCTTCGGCGCTGTGAGTCCCTGTGGGGGGGCAGGGGGTGCAGGACACGGGGCTGCAGGCTGCGTGGCCACTCTTCCCCTCCCCGCGCAAGGACGGGTGCTGCTTGCACCTCTTCGCTCTGAGTGTTAGAAACGGGGACCCCACCAAGGCAGAGGCCTGCTGCAGGTGCGGACGCCCGACTTAGCATGTGCAGAGGACGCCCAGTGCCGAGGGTGGGCCCTTCCCCAGATAGACTCCACCCTGCCCAGCCCCTCCTGCTCCCCACAACCCTGACCTCGCTGCGTGCACGTGGGTGGAGGGGTCCTCCACCTTTTGGGGGCCATTTGGCACCCTGTCCAGGGTGTGGGCCTGTCTGCCTCACTGAGGAGCCCCGAGGAGTGTGCAGGAAGCAGCAGCTGTCTTTAATACGGATCCGGGAGGCAAAAGGCCCCTACAACTCTTGCTAGGATGATCAAATATTTAAATCGGGTGATACGTGAAGTATATGCTAAGAAAACTGTTTTTAAAAAGGAAAGAAAGCCCCTCCCCCACCAAATACGCTGAATTTCAAAGCCAAGTGGTTTCCTCCCTGTGGCTCTTAAGCAAGTGGCCAGGTTTCCACCTCACGCGGCCAGCCTGATGCTGCCACAGGGCGGGGCGACTGGGGAGCTGGAAAGGACCCCCCTGAAGCCGGCAGCTGTCCTTCTGCTTGCAGAACCACCTCACGTTCACGGGCGCCATCAATGGGGATGTCTACGTCTGGAAGGACCACTTCCTGGTCCGGCTGGTGGCCAAGGCACACACGGGCCCAGTCTTCACCATGTACACGACCCTGCGAGACGGGCTCATCGTCACCGGCGGCAAGGAGCGACCGTAAGCTGGGCCTGCGCTGTAGAAGACCTGCCTGCGTGTGACCGTCCTGGGGGATGGGGACCGGGCATCTCCCACCCCGTGTGCACCAGGGAGATGGGTCTGCACCCGTCTTGAAGTTCCGGGGAGTCAGAAGTAGAGAGCTTGCTTCAGGGTAGACACACACACACACCACCACCACCACTGCCCCCGCCACCCCACCCCTCGCAGGCCTCACAGTTCAGAGCCCCTCCTCGCAGCCCTTTGGGGAAGGGGTGGTGAGAGGAGACGAGACTGAAAGCCCAGGGAACCAGAGAGGCATGCAGGAGAGCTGTTTCTCATAGTCGTGTGGGCTCAGTAATAAAAACGCAGCTGAATTGGAAGGTGTGGTGAGGTGCTGGGCTGCTAACTGCAAGGCCAGCAGTTCGAGACCACCAGCCATCCTTTGTGAGAAAGAGGAGGCCTTCTACTCCCATAAAGAGTCACAGTCCTGGAAGCCCGCGGGCCATGTGTACCCTGCCCTGTGGGGTTGCCCTGAGTCTGGCAGTGAGTTTGGTTTTAGGAAATGGGTGGGTCTTGGGGTTGAGGGTCTTAGGACAGGGCTCACCCGGGTGACGCTGCAGCTGAGGTTCAGGTGCCTCTGAAGCCAGCCCCAGGGCCTGCCTTTGAGAGCTCACAGCCTTGAAAACCCAGAGGCAGTTGTGCTCAGCACACTCGGGTCACCAGGAGTCCAACAGGGCTGCACAGCACCCACCCCCACCGCCACTGCCCTGAGTGCCCCCTGCTCTTTTCCAGGACCAAAGAGGGCGGGGCAGTGAAGCTGTGGGACCAGGAGATGAAGCGCTGCCGCGCCTTCCAGCTGGAGACCGGGCAGCTGGTGGAGTGTGTGCGCTCCGTGTGCCGCAGCAAAGTGAGCCTCCCCAGCCGCCACCGGGACACCCGGGACAACTGCACGCCTGCCGGGCGGGGCGGGGCTCCGGCTTCCCTGTACTGACTGCTTTGTTTCATCCTTAAAATGAGTCTGGGAAGGTACTTAGGGAGGTAGGGGAGGCAGACAGAACGGATTGAAACTGGCTCCATCTATACGGGCTGGAGATGAGCCTTCCTGAGTCCGGCACCCAGGGCTGCTAACCATAAGATCAGCAGTTCGAAACCCTCAAAGGAGAAAGGCGAGACTTTCTACTCCCAGAAAGACTGGCAGCCCTGGAAACCCAGAGGCCGTTTTGCTCCGTCCCATGGGGTCGCTCTGCGGCCCTCACATGACACGGCGCATGGCTTCTCGGGGAGGGAGTGAAGGAGGACCCACAAACCTGCAGACGCAAAACCGTTGGTTTCAAATCACGCCTTGGCTACCCTTCAACCCAACCGTAGAACATCAAAAACTAATAGGAACCTTGCTCAGGCCCTGCCAGATCACAACCAGTGTTGATTTTCTGTTTATTGCTTTTTCCTTCCCTATATATAATTTCCCCCGGGAGATTCTGGTGCACTTTAAAACTCTTCTTTTAGCCTCTAGTTAAAGCCTTGTGCTGGTAGTTTTGAATTCCTATCAGTCCAAGAATCTTAGAATTTGCACCATCAGTGGATTGCGGGGAGGGGTGACAGGGAGCAATCTGACCGCAAGGCTGTGCGTTGTGAAAGTGGACACGGCAGTCTTCAGGACGCCGGCATCAGGCGGGGCAGCTGGACTCATGGGAGAGGGAGGCAGATTCTAGACCAGGACGTAGGGAGGACAGCAGTCGCTGCCCCGCCCTCCCGGAGGCTGCAACCTGGCAGGTGTCGCACCCAGGCCCGCCCACAGGGAGCTGGGGAGAGAGACCGGGGCCTAAGGTGGAGGATGTCAGTTAAGGATGGGTGACCAGAGGTGCAAAGCAAAACACCTGTTGTGACGCTCACCCTGTACCACACCCAGACTTTCCCCTAAATGGCTTTAACTGCGTTTTGGCTGCAACAGGGGAAAATCTTGGTGGGGACCAAAGATGGAGAGATCATTGAAGTTGGTGAAAAAAACGCTGCTTCCAACATCCTGATTGACGGGCACATGGAGGGGGAGATCTGGGGCCTGGCCACACACCCCTCCAAGGACATCTTCATCTCGGCCAGCAACGACGGCACGGCACGCATCTGGGACCTGGCTGACAAGGTGAGGGGCAGCCCGCCGTGGCTGGGAGGCCGGCCAGGGGTGGGGGCCCTGACCACAAAGCCAGTGCTCCTGCCCGATGGATTCGTGGTACAGGGAGTGATTATTAGCGTGGCATGAGCCATAATGAAAAAGTGGACAAAACCTAAGAAAGAACTAAAGAAAACTCAGCTTCATAAACGGAAAAACAAAAACAATGTAAAATGCCAGATGTTCCCGAGTGGGTTAATATAATTCCACCCAAAACCCCCATGAGGCTCCCCTTGGAGCACAAGCAAATCTGAGGTTTCAACTCAGCTGCAGTGAAACCACAAAACAGCCGGGGGGTGGGAGACGGTAGGGAAGGTGAATCCATGGTACCAGACCTGATGGTACAATGTGTGTGTGAAGCCAGACTAGTGAAAACACGGGGCTTTGTTTCAGCGTGGCCAGTCACTATCTCGCTGGAGAAGGCATGCAGAACCTAAGTGGGACGTCCCGCCTGAATGAGTGTGTGCTCGCTGCCCTGCTGTGTGTGTAGGGTTAACACTAACTGCTGCAGCGCAGGTAGAGCAGCTCTGGGGAGTGGTGGGTTAAACGCTGGGCTGTGAACCACAGGGTTGGTGGTTTAAACCTGCGGGTCACTTGTCAGGAGAAAGATGGGAGTCTGCTCCAGTAGAGACCATCATCCCAGAAACCCAAGGAGCAGCTCAGAGCAGAGCTGACATTCTAACAGAAGCACGTCGCTTCTCCAGCGGAGTCTGGTGGGGTCACCTGCCCATACTTGTGGTTAGCAGCCCAGCCGAGCATTTACCTCCGCACCACCCGTTCTGCTCAGAGCAGCTTGGACAGCAACATGTTCTAGGGTGGGATTGAAGTCAGATAGGGCCAAGCAGTCTCTGAGGCAGCCGCAGATAACGCTCACATGATGGGGCAGGCGTGGCCTTCCGTCCAGGCTGCCCAGCTCCTGTTCAGGGACGAGGCTGAGCTGTCACTCCCCATCAGTCCAGTCCTGAGTCCTGGCTCGGCGGCTGGCTAGCGGGGTGAAGGTGGGTAAACCACTTGTTTCTCGGGGTTCCCGTTTGGAAAGAAAACACATCACTATTGGAGGCTTAACCGCCCAGCTTAGCTACTCAGGGACATTTATATAGGCAGCGTCAGCGAGCCCAGTAAGCAAGGTCTACTCACTGCCATCCAGTCAATTCTGACTCGTGGAGACAAGGGAGGCCCAGGCCTACTTGTGCTACTGCAGTGAACTGGCTCACATGTTTTCACCCCGTCAAAGACATGAAAGCAAGCACAGCAGGCTCATGTGTACCTTGCATGTACTGGGTACTCAGCACCTGCCTGTGGCTCGGGCTTGAGAGACCAGTGGCCCAGTCTTAGGTGAGCTGGCCCTGTCCCTGCAGAAGCTGCTGAGCAAGGTCAGCCTGGGCCATGCAGCCAGGTGTGCAGCGTACAGCCCCGACGGCGAGATGGTGGCCATCGGCATGAAGAACGGCGAGTTTGTCATCTTGTTGGTGAACAGCCTGAAGGTCTGGGGGAAGAAGCGAGACCGGAGATCGGCCATCCAGGACATCAGGTACTTACTTACAAGTGGACTCGGGAGAGAGAAGGGGTTGGCTACTCCCTTCTCACCGGGCCATCCTCCCATCCTGCAGGGTGGCTGCTACGAGCCAGCTTTGACTCGATGGCAGTGAGTCTTTCTGAGTTGAAGAGCGGTCTGGGCCGAGCAGGGTGGGATGCTCACGCTTCCGGCTCTGAGGGCCGGGGCTGGACAAGGTGTGCAGCGGTCAGGCCGTCTCTGAGCAGCCAGCTTGGAAGGCAGACCTCTCACGCCAGCACGTGGCCTTCCCTGGCTTTCTCATTTCCATGCGAGCACGGTGAAACCACTTGTCAGATGCCGCAAAGGGCCACGTGCTCCCAGTGCCCATCTGCCACCTGGCCAAGGAGCCTTGGGGGTATCGGCCCCGGGCTAACCACAAGGGGAGTGGTTTGGAACCACCAGCCCCTCATCTGGAGAAAGGCCTTCTACTCCCCGCAAGCTTCCCGGGTCAGCCCCATGGGCAGCTCCACTGTTCTGCGGGGCCGCTCTGTGCCCAGCGCCTCCCTTCGGAGAAATCGCTAGTCCCACAGCCGCTCAGGAGGCCGAGCACACGCCCGTCTGCCTGAGGTGTGAGCTCGCTGCCTTTGGGCCCGGGTGGGCTTTCCCAGAGCAGACCACGTGCCCGGCTGGGCTGAGCTCTGGGGTTGCCTTTTCCAGAATCAGCCCAGACAACCGACTCGTGGCCGCCGGTTCTTCTGAGCACACGGTCGACTTGTACGACCTCACCCAGGGCACAAGCTTGAACCGCATTGGCTACTGCAAAGACATCCCGAGCTTTGTCATCCAGATGGACTTCTCTGCAGACAGCAAGTACATCCAGGTATGCTTCGTGTCGATGGATGGGGCTCACGATGACTTACCTTCCACGGAGTGGTGCCGTGAGCCTGGCATGGTGCCAACGAACCCTTTACAGAAACCCTGGGGTAAATATTGCGCTCTCTCTCTCTCTCTCACACACGCACACACAGTTCGGCTGGGAGAACATAAGGGAAGTGAAGACATGGAATTTAAAATAGCAAGGAGCCATTCTCAGGAAGAGCAGAAAAATGCAAGCCCTGATGGTCTACCGTTCTCCCCTTTAAAGTTCTTATCTCCCGTGGCTGAGCACTGGGGCACTGACCACACGGTCAGTAGTTTGAAACCACCCACTGCTTCCCTGGAGACAGAAGAGGCTTTCTACTCCGTGAAGGTACAGCCTCGGAAGCCCAGGGGCAGTCCTACCTGTGCTCTCGGCCTCGAGTCAGTGCACTCGCGGGCAGAGCGGTTGGTGGTTTTCCGGGTTCTGCACACCCTGCTTGCACCTCCCACGGTTCATTTTCTGTCTCCAAACTCCACTGGCTAGCAGGTCCCCCCAACTTGGCAACTAGCCACTGGATGACAGACCTTGAGAGCCGGCCCCAGGGCTGTAGCACCGCCAACAGGTGGGGAGGGACAGAGAAGCGCCCCTCCTGAAACTTCAGGGTGAGGAACTAGAATGCCCATTTGTCACCCTGAACCAACACGAGGCAGGCCTTTGTGAGCTGGTCTGGAGTGGGACCGCCACTGCCAACGGGCGCGACGGTGTGCATTCATGTACTTACTGTTTGTGAACCGGGCACCATGGTTCACAGGCCCCTGGGCAGGCAGAGGGCCTGGCCCCTGCCTCACCTGGAGCTTGCACTGTAACGGAGACGAGCGAGGAGACCATGAGAACATATACCTATAAATTACAACTCATGAGTAAGCGCCGAGGAGGAAAAGTACCGGGTCTCGAGAGCATCTGACAGGACACTGGAAGCAGAGTCACTTCCTCTGTAACTGGCGTGGACGCTCACATCTGAAGGGTGTGTAGGAGGGAGCCAGCAAGGGTGGAAATGCTGTCTCAGACCATCTGCCTGGTCCCTGAGGTGGGAAATAGCCGCTCATTTGGGAGCAGGGTGGCTGGGTGGAGGGCCCTTCAGGAAGTAGTCGTGGGAGGCACTTGTCTCTGACTGGAGGATCAGTGGTTCTCAACCTTCTTCTGCCGCAACCCTTTCCTACAGTTTATGTTGGAGTGACCCCCTCCCCCAACCATAAAATTATTTTCATGGCTACTTCATAACTGTCAAGGGGTTGCGACCCACGGGTTGAGAACCACTGGCCTAGAAGGTACCAAAGAAATAAGATCAGGTCCACCCCTCCAAAATCACCTGTCCAAGAGGAAACCTGCCTTGCTTCGATCCCAGAGAGCCTTGGGTCCCTGTCCAAAACGGGACACTCACATGTGTCAGAATCACCGGCAGGGGCCTGTCCAGCCTCTGTGTCTGGATTCCGCTGAGAATATCTGCATATCTCACACGTGCCCAGGTCCAACTGATGGACCACCTTTGAGAACCGTGAGGGGCTGGATGGGGAAGCTCTGCCCAGGAGCTCTTCCTGTGGGAGGGAGCCTTCCATCCAAGCTCGTCCCTGGAGCTGGGCTTGGGGACAGAGGAAGGGTCTGGATTGCAAAGGCTGCTGTTCTGCAGCAAAGACCCCAAACATGGGCTGCCTTCCACTTTCAGGTGTCAACAGGCGCCTACAAGCGCCAGGTGCACGAGGTCCCCCTGGGGAAGCAGGTCACGGATGCCCTAGTCATTGAGAAGATCACCTGGGCCTCCTGGACAAGGTGACGGGAGACAAAATGCTTCCTGGGGACCAGATCATGAATCTCTTGCTCTAGATTACAAGTCTGACTGTCCAGCTCAAAAACGGAGGGTCTTGGGGATGGGTGAAGGAGGGGTTTCTTGGTATCAGCCTGGGCCAATGGCTTTCTTTCTGACCTGCGCTTTTGAAATGCAGTCTTTTTTTTTTCCAAAGTGTGGTCTTCCCTCCAGTTCCCGGGGACCTGCCGACTCTTGGCCAAGCCCAGGAGCCGCTATAAGGCTCTCGTCACTGGGAAAGGGGTGGGGTGGGCTGGAAGCGCCACCAGACAGGATAAACAATACCTTGGCCGGTTTCATCCAGCCCGCGTGCTTGAAGGGGTCCTTCACTCCTCTTGCCACATTCGCAGAACTCCAGGGGAGGTGAATGAGGAGTATAAGGAAGGGCCAGGGCATCAAACAACAGTGGGAGGGGGGTGAAAGGTGGTGGGGCAGGGCAGACGCTTCTCATGTCAGGAAAGCATTGTGGGAAATAGCACCCCTCCCTGAGGATTCACGACTCCCTCCTAACCCCGCTTCCCTGCTGAACAGCATTCTGGGAGATGAAGTCATTGGAATCTGGCCCAGAAACGCAGACAAGGCGGATGTCAACTGTGCGTGCGTGACCCACGCTGGCCTAAACATCGTCACGGGGGACGACTTCGGGCTGGTGAAGCTCTTCGATTTTCCGTGCACCGAGAAATTTGTGAGTCATCCTGCCACCTCCCTGGCGGGCCTCTGTGACCACAGTCCTTTGGGGGCTTGTCAGCGCCTAACCTGTCCATCTCTATCGGGAGGCGGAGGGCGGTGCTGCAAGGTGGGGGCGGCCCTTAGCAGTGGCCTTTCCTCTTGCCCACAGGCCAAACACAAGCGCTACTTTGGACACTCGGCTCATGTGACAAACATCCGTTTCTCTCATGACGACAAGTACGTGGTCAGCACTGGAGGAGACGACTGCAGGTACCCCTCAGCCCGGGCCCGGGTCACGGGAGGCGCTGAGCTAACAGTAAACCCAGAGAGACAAGGTCCAGCCAGGTGTGTTTCCAGAGTGGGCCATGAGCACGGGGCAGGTGAGCTCGGTGGAGTTCTGATGGGAGACAAGCCCCGAGGCAAGAGCAGAGCCGGTGTAACACCCACCCCACCACACCACACCACACGCACTAACCACACACACACAGACAAACACACCCCAACCAGACATTACACATGCGCACCACACACGCATGGACACGTGCACACACCAAGCCATGAGGCGGCCCAGGGCAGGGAGCCTCCAACTCCAGGGCCAGCCCTGCTTTTGGCCCAAGTACTGTCTGTTCCAGGTGTATGGGGCGCCCCTCCCAGCAACCAGTCTCCCCACGATCCCCAGTCGGCTGCCGCCTTCTGTTCCTACACCCCGGGCACATCTCAGTATCTGGAGCGTCTGAACGGTGGTTTCTAAGCCCAAGCAAACCCTTGGAGGGGTGTGGGAACAAAAGGCTTGGTGTGTTGTGGCTAATTTCAGCCCACTTCCCACCCAAACTCAGTGTGAGGTGGCACTCACAACCGCTCCCTGTGCAGTGGGCACTCCTTGGGGCAGCCTCACCAGCCAGCCAGGGAAGGAAACCTTCAAAAGCAGGGCGCCTGGGCCCTGGCAGGCCCAGGCACTAGAACGGCTCTCCTACTCAAGTGGAGCTGATAAAAGCTCTTCAACAGGGCCGAGTGGGGAGGAGGTTGTCAAAGGCCCTTGCAGACCACATTGGGCACGAACCTCGGCTTGCGGAAGGGCGGGCACAGGTGCTGGGCACACTGGTTTCGTTTTGTATCACCTGAGCCTCCTCCCCAAGGTTGGCTTTTCACACTTGATAAGCTGCGGAGTCTAGCCATGCAGAGTGACCGTCTGGTCTGCTTTTTCAGTGTCTTTGTGTGGAGATGTCTGTGAACACCAGAAACCTCTTGCACTATTGCTGCCGCCCAGCAAGGACCAAGGCGGCGCCCAGGCCCTCCCTCGCCAGACTGCCGGGAGACACAGGTTCCGGGTGCGCGACTGCAGCTGCTTCCGGACTCCACTCTGACGCTGTGGCACCAGGAAGGAAGGTCAAGTTCTAAGACACCACGACCGCTTGCCTCTGTTATTGAGACTCAAATCTTTACACACTGACTAAATCGACAATACAAGACCACCTATCTGATACTGTAGCCCACTGACACAATGGAACACCTCGGTTATCCTTACCAACATGTAGCTTTTCGTTTGCATCAAAACGTTTACAAAAGATGTTTTGCTATTATGTTTCTATATACTTTCAGGATGCCCATCTTTTTACAAATAAGCAAACTGAACAAAACAGTTCAAGTTTGATGCACAGAAGTACATGTTTGCCACATTTAGAAACCAGCTGAGAAACTTAATTTTGTAAACGTTTCATTTGCAGAGTTTTATATCCATTAAGTGCCTTCGAAAGTTCCCAGGTGTGTGGGCTGCTGTGTCACGTCCCACAAATGACCCGCTTTCTACCTGTGGTGCTAACTAACACTCCGAAACTGAGGAGGACCGTGGGGCCCTTAGCAGGTATGGTGTCTGTCACCCGTGTCCCATTGTATGTCAGGACATCAGTCACCTGCTTGGGAAATCAGGGGTACAGGCTGGTGAGCAGCAAGGAACTTGGAAATTCAGGAGGGAGGGGCCAGAATGGGTTTTCATTCAATTTAGTGCCAAATCTGCAACATCCGACACAGAACTCAAAGTTAAACCTCTGCTACACCACAGAAGCCAAATCACAAACAATTCACAAAAATGGTCCAGTTTAAGACTCGTTTAGTCCTAAAAGCAGTCACAGCGAGCGGGCCCCCCCCATCACCCTGTCCCCACAGCATTCACTTGTTTCAGGTGGACAAAGGTCAAGCCCAAAGAACTTTCGCTGCAGAAGCCACTCCTGAGCCCCAGCTTTCTTTGATCAAAAGTATCAAAGTAGAGCTCCTCCGAGCTTGCTCTGCAGGTGGTGGCTTGGGCCTCGGGAAGCAGAAGACACCCTCGCCGTGTTGATCAGTCTGGATCTTCAGCTACAACTTGCAGTTATCCGTTAAAAGGTGAGAAGCATTTTCAGTTACAGAACACCAACTAGCCACAGAAGTGCTTCAGCACTCTGAACGGATGAGCTCATTCACAGCTGTTTCTAATGCCTTACATTGAATCCACTGCTAGGAAGGTCTCTAGGCCCACACTTGAGTCCCACGCAGCCCAAATTCTGTTTCCTGCAACCATGTCTGCCTATGTTGTACTACTGAGCTTTCATACCGATTGATGTCGCACCGAAATAACCATGTGGAAGACCAATGGTAATAATATGTATAACTATATTTAAAGAGCAATAGTGTCTGTGTGTCACAAAAACTTAAACCTTATTTATAAGGTATGTTCATAAATCCTGCACTGTATCCTCCTACTCTGTGTTAAAATATTGGTGCATGAATGTTTTTTCAATGATCAAAGCATAAAAAGATACATAATGTAAGCATCTTCTTGGTGTGTTTCCCGAGGAAGCGCACACACTCACTGGCATTGAGGCCCGGGCTCCCCACGGTGGGTGCTTTCAGTCGGCATCGGCTTCATGAAACCAGCATTCTATAAGCTTTATTGATGCTTCGCTTGACAGTTCACAATGCATTCCACAGATTTAGTTCAGTACAGCTTAAACCACAATGGTGTAAGGCTCCGATTTATAATTTCTTGCATAACAACATTTGATATTTGCAAACAAGGTTTTTGGAAGCATGAAGTTCAGTCCACAGAGGGGTTGGTGACAGGACGGGCGGCACACGGGGGCGTCTATGCTGTCGAGTCCTACGGGGGTGGCGTGTTTCATACGGAAACATGCAAGAGCTGCCTGCCTGTGTGCTCCGCTCTGAACACAGGAAGCCTAGACCTCGCAGACAGCAAGCACGGTGGGGCCGCTGGAGGGGATAGGCTAAGCGCTGTGAAACACTAGATATAGGTATATATGAAGAATCTATATTTACTTATATTGGCAATTAATATAACAGTATAATTCACAATACACCTAGAACATACCAGAAAGGCAAGATTTTTCTCATTCCTGCGCTTGTGGTATGATCTCGTCTAAACATCTCATTTCAGGAACTCTGCATCAACCTACACGGACCATACGCAGTGCACAAACTGTGAAAGGGATTTTTTGGGTTTTTTTTCCCCCCAGCTTCATTTTCTCTGCAACTTCCCCAAAGACAGCACGACGGCCTGTGACAGTGTGACACACAGCTTCCTCAAATCTCTCACCAGTGCCTCCCTCCCACAGGAAACACAAAGTAACACGACAGGTTGAATCCACACGGAGCAGCTCACAATGCTTGCGATGCGGAGCACAGCGCAGTCAAGGCAGGCAGACTCCTCAATGGATCTGGGAAACTGCATGGCAATGTCCAGGCGTCCTCCCCCCGCCATTCAAAGCGCATTCCTGGGAAGATGAGCCCCTAGTGCCGAGCGCCCTGGACTCTCAGTCGGCTTTGCGCTTCAATCCAGGGATCTTCGCTTGAATTCTGCAAATGGGAAGGAAGGCAGGGGAGAAGAGGCATGTCACCCGGGGGCCATTCTTCGAGAAGGAATCGGCTGCAGTGTTGCCGCCTCGCCCTCACAACCTAGATTCCACAAAGCCTCTCACCCCCAGGGCCGGGAAACCCTTGGCAGCGCTGACGAGCGTGCTTGGGCCTGATGGAGACATGCTACTCTCTTAAGGTACAGCCCCTTACCCGTGACTCCAAGTACTTACTTAGCCACAGCGTCTTTAACAGTCTTACTCGCAAGTGCGAGGCAATGATCTATCTGAGCCTGGAAAAGAGGGAGAGCGATGAGAGAACCGCCACCACAGAAGCCCAGCGCAGGCCAATTCTGGTTCCAACAATCACTACGCTCAAAGGCCATCACATTACCCACGTGTCCAAGGCAAGTAGCATGGATGCTTGTGTAAATCCCACATAGAAGAATGGGCTCTGTAACCTATGTCAGTAGAAGTTAAATTACCTGATGCCGTTCATAAATAACTGGCACGCTGAAGAGTGAAATCAGGGCTGAAAAAGGAAATACACAACTTTACAAAAGGACTCACGGTGTAGCATTCAAAGCCATCCAAAGCTAACCAAGCTCCTACCAATGACAAAATACACAAGCTGCTCCTGGAGGTATCTGCCATGGGGAACCACACCCGGCTTTACCCCCCAGCCCCGACGTCATGAAAAGCAGGCACACCTCGCTGGCTAGATTTCTACCACTGACCAGCGAGAGCTCCCCTTTGCCTAGTTAGCATGGCTCGTTGGAGCACTCTTCAATTACTCCAATATTAATAAACCTAACATGAGCAGTTTATTTACAGGGACCGCAACCAAGTAATTCCTCCTTGTTCCTTTTAAGAAAGAATTCTCTCCCATAAAATGGCTTTAAGCTACTGAGCCCAGTGCCTTAGTGCACTTACCTAAAATCAGGAGGGTCAGTCCGTTGAACAAGGCACCGACGTAGGTGAGCACCCACATCAACACTGCAAACTGCAAGGAAACCACATCAGCCAGTGCAGACACACGGTCCCCTCAGCATGGGGATGCCCTAGACTTCCCAACGACACCCCAAGTACCTGCCGCCCCTGGAGGTCTGCTAGAGTCACATGAATATTTCACTTCTCAATTCAGAATTCAAATGGAAATGACAGGCTTGATCTCATCTGCTCTGAACCACGTGGGAATTAATTCTGTTTTCTCAGCTCTAAGGTCATTTCCCTTTCCGACAGCCAGACTGAAAAGTATCAAGAGCGTTAGGGAATACATTCATCTAAAGCCTGAGTGGGTCAAATGTAAAAGCACTAACCAATTAAGAACTTGAAGAGAGATGAACTGAATTATTCCGACGCTGAAATCTCAGACCTGTGGACAAGGTGATACTGGGGCTGGGTCAGAAAAACCAGGCTTCGAGCAGCGAGCGATCTGTCACCGGCTGTGGCACTGCCTGCGCCTTGATCTGGGTGGTTGCAGCCAAAAGGAAGCGGGGGAATGCGGACTGCTCTAACTCAGACTCAGGAAACCCACCTGGCTGTTGCTACTCTTTATGTTTAACAAGACACCTCTGCAGGCAGTGCTTACTGTGTGCTGCGCACTGTACTCGGTGCTTTCCATGCCAAAGCCCGCGCTGGGAGGTAGGTACCACTACCCACCGTAACAGCTGCAGACGCAGGAAAGTTCTGTGAACTTGCCCCGGTCACACCGCACTCTTCTCGTGGGGGCGGGGCCTGGGGACCGCAGCCACCTGACAAGCTCTCAAAATCGACCATGCCTCTTACCATCAAATAGGCAGTTGGGGAAAGACTTTGCTTTTAAGAAAAGTGACTTCATCGGGGTGGGGGGGTCTCAATTTCCTCCATCACTATTTCCTAGTTTATTGGAGACTGGACAAGGAAATTTCTAAATTTTTTGTCTGGCTCTTAAATTCTGTGACATCAACGGATAAGTCAAAGCCATTCTTGATGACCAGGAAAGCAGCGGCAGCTCTCTCAGCCTGCGTGCCAGCAGCGGCCCTGTCCCGTGAGCCTGGGCAAATACCAGGGAGGGGGAGAGGGCAGTCAGAGGCAGGGCCAGCAGACTTCTCTGCTGTTTTGTGGGCCACACAGGGTCTCTCATGACGTTATTCTTGGTTGGTGGTGTTTTCGCAAGCTTTTAAAGGCCACTCTCAGCCTTTGCATGGCCGCAGCTTGCTGGCCCTTCATCTAAAGGCATGGTTCTCTTCTGTCTCAGGCTTTCGGCATGTCTGATGGACTACTGCGTCCAGCAGGCTCCTGAGCACCAAGGATGGCATCTGAACTCTAATCTTCGCATACTCAGGTCAGGATTCCTCCAGCAGCTGTCAGGGCCCACAAATAGCACTGCTCAGGTTACCCCTACACCATGCTCAACTAAGGAAAATGCCAGGCACGCTGGCCAGTGGCACCTGCCGGTGGACATTCCAGTCTCTGCAGGCAGGCTTTTAAGCAGGCTCCTCTCCCACAGTCTGACTCCTGAAGAAGCTAAATATAACGTCTGCATTTGAGGGTGCTGCCTGTAAAGTGACAGCTTCCCTCCTCTACCAACCACAAGTCTAAAGGAAAAAGAACCAACGTGCCCATCTCAGAAGAAATTGCCTAGCAGTGTGGACACCTTACCATGACACAGCTGGATACTTTGCATACTCACAGGTGGAAAAAGGTCTTCCTGTGGCCACTGCAGTCACCAAGAGGATCACACTACAAATCCACGCAGAAAGAAGCCCGAGACTCCATGCCTGGGCCCTTGTCATGTGTCTCTTGAAGGGCATTCTTTTGAACATCCAAGCAGCCCACAGGCGAAATGCACATGGGAGCCAGTGAGGGAAACGCCCTCTCCCCACTCCCCAGGGACTCGGATCACAGCTGCTGCCCTGCAACCATCCCAGGCCACATGTTGCCCAATTTCCCCATTTTGAATGAAAAAACTATAAAGTCACATTTGTATGGGATGGGCTATCACAGATATTATTACTCTATAGCCAAGTTTGGAAAAAATGTAAAACTTTGGTGGCTGGAAACAAACTCCTGGATAAGGATGCCTAGAGGTTGCACCACTAGACCAGAGAGGTGGCCTAAGAACTAGCTTCTCCTGATAACACAGCCCTGCGCCTTGAGGGAGGGGTCACTGGACACCAGGGCACTACAGCAAAGTGTGGTGCACAGAACAGATGGTGCCCAGCTACCGATCAGACAGTGTCTGAGGTCTGTTCAAGCAAGCAGCCTGTGTGATCCAAAGATGAAAGGGAAAGTGTCAGAGCTTAAATGGTGAACATGCAATCTGTAGAAGGCTGTGGAGGGTGTGGGAGCCCAAACCCATCTGCAGAGCATCTCATCAGATTCGCCTCTGGCGCTCCGCTCTAGCCACAGGTGGGGGACTGTACTGCGAGACACAGACATCACTGTACACTTGATCGTGGTGGATTGAACCATGGCATAACAGGATGCTTGGCCAGTTGACCTCTCTCTTACCCAGCGTGCATGTGCCCCAGGCTCTTGGGTCCAACTTACTGGAGTCTATACTGCAAAGCCTCAGGAGAGCCGCCTTCCTCGGTGGGGTTTGTCCCCAACAAGCAAAGGGGCAGGGACACCCTCCAAACAAGGACACGGGCAGCTCCCACGTTGGCCCTAACTTTTCTTTCCTCCCTCCCTCCCTCGGAACCGAACTCCTGGCCACAGAGATGATGCCAACTCACAAAGGAGTGGAACACCCAGTCTCTCTCCCGAGGAGCTGTGCTGGTGGGTCACAGCCCAGTGTGACGAGCCTTTCCACACCCATGTAACTCTCCTCACAGCTAGGGGCCATCTGTGGAGGACAGTCAACCTGGTGGACAGCCACATTTTTCATAAAAGACAAGTAGAAACTTGAAACTCAAACGTGTAAAAACTGGCACATAATAAATCATTCCAAGATGCAATGGCTGTGTTTCATTTTAAACCCTGTGTCACGGAATGTCCCTTTCTCAAGAGGAATGTTGACATATGGACACACAGCCTCCTGCACAGGTGTGGGATGACACCCGTTAGCCTATTTACTAAGTCTGGAAGACAAGAACCTTCCTCCCCCAACCAGGAGTCCTGTGAGGTGCTGTGGGTTAGGCGTTGGCATGCTATAACCTCAAGGATGGGGGTTCACACCCACCAGCTGCTCCCTGGGAGAAAGATGAGGCTGTCTCTCCTTAATGACTAAGTCTGAGAAATGCTGCGCAGGGCTGGACACCAAGGAGTGGCGAGCTCAGCGCTCTTCCCCCATGAAGGTCCTTGGGGCCTTTGAGTAAAGCTGCCCTGGGCGCTCTTTGACCGCTGATAGTTTCCTGTATGCGCGGGGCTGAGAGGCTACTTTACAGTGTTTCTTCTCAGGGGATGCCTCCCTGCTCTCTCCATCCTGCAATGCACTGATTGTTCTACTCCAGCAGCCAAGGAAATGAGACAAACCCCGTGCTGAAAACAACGTAACACCTGGCTCCCACAGGCACCGCTGTCTGACAGCACTGTGAGCATTTGAGCTACTGTGACCAAGGAGAAAAGCGGGATCTAATGGTCTAACCTGACTGCTAGGTGACACTCTTGACTTTGAGAGAGGCTTAAGGTCAGTGGTGTGCATCTCTCCTAAAAGAAGTTTCTATCCACCAGGCACATTTGCACCCCAGCTTCAATGCAAACGGTAGGCAAAGGCCCCCAGACACAGAAGAGGCACTGGGTCACTGCGTGCCGCCCAGACCATCGTCAGCAGGGCTCAGGGTGGGCTGGTTTGCAAAGTTAGAGAGCATCAGCAACTACAGAGGCCCCGGTGATCCGCACCTGGAGGTGATCCGCACCCCTGCAGAAGGCAGCACACACTCGAGGACAGAAATGGTATGCTCCAAAACAAAGCCGGCCTATTCCATCACAGTGGTGTGAAATCGATTCGTCTCCCTTCTGACAGTCAAGATACCCTACGATTTCCAAAAGTA